GGGGGGGGGGGGGGATGAAAGGGGCAACGAAGCGAGAAGAAAGACGCCGATGATGTAGGTTTGTGTTGGGGTGCAATTCATTGCGGAAGCAGTCCGTTGTTCATTCTCATTTCCAGATGATCCGCCACGAGGGAAATTTCTATTTATTGACCAGCCAATTTCTCTTCCGTTTTCCATCAGAAATTGCCAGGGTGAGAGAAGGTTTTTTAATCCGACACAATTCACGATGTACAGTGGATAATTTTAGGTCGATTAATTGAAATCAATAAATCTGATATTCGGGCATTGATGCTAGGTGATTTTTTTTCTGGTGTGGGGACAAATTGAACAGTGCTCATGATGTCTAGCTGAATAATATCCTTGAATTCAGTAATTAAATGAGAGATATTAGAGAGATTGAAAAGTGTGATTGAAAATTTTGAATTGGAAAATTTTATGTCAGCCATCTTGTAAGCTTCACCGCCGCCACTCGTCAATTTAACATCGGCAATTCGGGTTTATGTAACACATTTCATGAAAATGTGGGACATATTTGCAAAATTTGTAGAAAACTATTGATAGGTTACAGGGAAATTATCAGTATGTAACGCGTCACATGACCTCGATGTCTGTACTCTGTCTCTGAGAAATTCCCTACAAGAAATTTTTTCCGAGAATTTCCTCCCTCCTCCGTTCGCCCAATTAGAGTGCAGTATTCGAGATCACGTGACAGCTTCACTTCGGTTTTATTTTGATAGTAAGGATTATTTTTCCCAATCGGATTTTGACCAATCAGAGCGCAGTATTTTAGGCTACCCGACAGTTTTATTTCGGATATTTCCTACTAGCTTTTGAATACTTTGCAATAGCTCTTAATTTTTTTTTACCTGAATATTTCGCAGTAGCTCTTCATTTTTTCAGCTCATTTCCAATTGAATCTTATATTTGGCAGACTACGAAAATCAGGTTATACTATTAACATAATTTGTTCATTCTTCCCTAATTCACCCCCTGATGTTGTCCGCTGGATTCTGATTGGCCAAAAATCCGATTGGGAAAAATAATCCGATAAATACCCCTCGAGCTTCAAAATTAATCGTGCATTTCCCTCAAGCTCCCCTGCAAACAAACAATCGTGCCAAATTTTGTAGAAAAATCATTCGCGCAAGCACTCCGGATTTTGTAACCTGCAAAACTTGACACTCTTATTTGTTTGCAACGAAGCTATGGGAAGATACCCGATAATTTTGAAGGTCTAGGAATATTATAGCTGATAATTCACCAGGCTACTAGTGAATTGTCAGCTATAATACCCCAAGACCTTCAAAATTATCGGACATTTCCCGAATTTTTTGTTGCATAGCAACGAGAGGGATCAGTTTTGCAGATCCTGAGCGCGTAGCGCGAGGGATTTTATTGCAAAGCTGATCCCGATCGTTGATATGCAGGAAAACTTGAGGGAAATATCTGATGAATTTTGAAGGTCGAGGCGTATTCAGAGGACAATTTCACATTTCACCAAAATGTGAGGAATATCTGTCAAATTCGTAGAAAACAATTCACAGGCTACAGGGAAATTATCAGACTGATAATTTCCCTGCAGCTGGGGAAATTATCTGTCTGAAACGCGTCGCGTGACTCCGAATATTGCACTCTGATTGGTCAAAATCAAAATTGGGGAAATTGTCAGTAGTAATGCCACGAGACCTCGAAAATTATCGAATATTTCCCGATTGTTTTGTTGCGTAGCAACGACAGGGAGAAGTTTTGCAGATTAAAATCCCGAGCGCGCAGCGCGAGAGATTTTTCTGCAAAACTTATCCCGATCGTTGATACACAGGAAAACATGAGGGAAATGTTCGATTAATTTTGGAGGTCGAGTGGTATTCGACGGATTATTTTTGGTAATCGGATCTGACTTTCTTCATGACTTTCTGTCACTCCACAGGATAATATTGGACAGTTATTTGGTTAGAGAAACAATTGCAGAGCTAGAGGGAAATTAACAAAAGCTACAGGGAAATTATCAAAAGCTAGGGAGAAATAACCGCTGTAATTTTAATTGAGAAGTACTTCATGTTATTGAATACTGAACTCTGATTGGCCCAGGGAAGGCCAGATCCAATTACCAAAAATAATCATTGATATCTCAATGACATCTAAAACTTTCTAATTCATTGCGAAAATTGAACTTCACATCCATATGAATTTTCAGTGGATTGAAAATTCAGGGAAATTGTTGCTTGATTTTATAAATTATTTAATCATTTTGATTATCATGTGGACCTGAAAAGTGCAATTTCATTGAATACTGCAGACTTTAACTAACTTTTCAATAACAAAAGACATGAAAATTTTGTGTGAATGAGTAATTGTTAAAAATTTCACGATTTCTGATTTGAATATTCAGGGGTAATTTTCTAACAGTGTAGCATAGTAATTAAGCTAATGAGGTTTAATGGGAAGATTGGAAATTATTCAAGATAAATTATGGCAGTCATCAAATGCTAATTGTGATCTGTTTTTTGTTTTCATTGCAGAACAGATCAGAGTAGAACAGCTGAGAATTGTGAAGGATATTATCGACCAGGAAATCATTCCTGAATTGCCATCCGGTGTCCGTCTCAAAATACCATAGAATAAAAGGGAACTGTTATTTTGTTTCCTTTTCTATTACCACGCTCAGGCGAAATGGCACGGGGGATTGATCGAGATTCTGATAGGAAAAAAAGTGTGTCGGTAAGGATAGACTATTTTTTAAATTTTCTATTGCAATAACTATGACAACTAGCTGCCATTAATAATAATGTTATTATGGTTTTATATTATCATTATATTATCGTTTTTCCTTACCTGTGCATGAGAAAAAAGGGAACGGAATGTGAAATCTAAATTCTCATATTAATTAAAGCCGCAATGTTCAAATCTCGCATCCAATTAATTTCAATACGCCAAAATCATTACATTTTCATGAATTAAAATCACTCGGGAGCTATTTTTCAATGAATTTAGTAAGCATGCGGCGAACGAATTCTACCGATACAGAACTATTTACTCTGGAGCAAAATCTCAGATAGAATTTATTTCAATGAAAGGCTTGATATACTACATCCAAAACAGTGAATGAGAGTCAAATAAAAATCGTATGACAATTTCTTTCCTCCTGAACATAGAGACTTGCATTAATTCTAAACTAATAATTTCAGGTCCCAAGAACTCAAGAAGGAGGTTTATTCACCTTGAAAATCGATCGAAGTAGTAGGACAGAAGTGAAGCCTACCTTTTAACCACCTCCACGGAAGGCCCGACTTTTTTCACCATAAAAGCATCGAATCCGATCACCGCCAGTGAATTAAACGAAAGATAAGAAAAAACAACTGCTAATCGACCAGAACGAGTTTTCGCGACTAAATCATCAATAAGCAAAGAAACATAAACAAGAAAACTCAAAAAATAATAATAAAGACAGTTCCCACTTTTTGGCTCCCATCAGCCATAAACAGTGAGAGATTACAAGAGGTGCAAAACGTGTACAGAAACCTGAAAACTGTTTTTAAAAAAGTTGACAAAAGTTCACAACAAACTTTCAACGAAAAAGCCAAAAAAGAAAGGAAACACCGAAAAACTCGTCACAATCTCTCTCTCTCTCTCTCGTTCTCCCGAGATAGATCCAACGAGGGAAGCCAAGTTTTTCAGTGCCACGTTTCCTAAAGACATTTTATTTTCACTTTGGGAATACCAGCTTCCATAAGAACATTCTCTCACATAAAATAACAAAAAAAAACAGAAAAAAATTTTTATTTTTCCTCAAAGTGTCCTTAATCCAAATAAAGAAAATTCTAAACAAACTAGAACAAATGAAAAAAAAAATAAACAACTAAACATTTTGTTGCACGCAAAAAAGTGTAATGATTAAGATATAAATCAATTCTAAATAACTAAAAATGAGTAGAAAAATGGCACGAGTAGTTTTCCTGTTTCTCCTCATGTGGACGTCGATCGATAACTCAAAGAGTTCTACAGACGCCGGTCCAAACTCTCCAGTCTTCAATTTGGACCACACAGCCCTGGAGAAGAACATTGCAGCGATTTTCAACAAAGTTGCTCATAGTTCAGCAACGACGAAACGCAGCGTGCCAGCCTACGAAGCACAGGTCTCAGCCTCAACCACCCTTTCCACTGTTCCCTCCCCACTGACAACAACAACTGCAAAATCATCAACGTCCCTATCTCCCACCACCCCCTCAATCCCCTCAATGAGAAACCCAATTCCCCGTGCAACAGTCTCGCCCCCTTATCGCGAATTACCCTCCTATGCTCCCCCGTCAAGAGCTCCATTCACTCCGCCTCTTCCTCCAGAATATCTGAATCCGTTTGCAGATAAGCCAACTCTTCGCGGGACTAACTCAGAAAACTATTCCGGCGTAAGAAGACCAATTCCTCCACCTAGTTTGACTCCAGCACATGAGAGGATCCCCATAAGACCACCTGATCTGCTTCACGCGCCTATTCAGACACCTGAAAAGCCTCCATCACGAAATAAAGCATTGAACACTCCGAGTAAGGAGCAGAGGGTGCCAGAGCCTTCGGGGGAGATTGAGAGAAAGAACAATAGTAATGATTTCGTTCCAACTCTACATTATCCCAGCATTTCCAGAATCCTTTCTGGTAGTAATGGAAGGAAGCAGGATATCCCGGAGATATTATTAAAGCCTCTATCCACAAAAACACCAATGACCAATGTTCCCGCAGCTTCTACAACAGAGAGAAGTACTAGTACGACATCTATGACGATCAGAACCACTAGTATAGTGAGATCAGTGACAAGACCTACTATTTTTAATCTGCCAAACACAAGGAGACAAGAGCCTGGTGATAACAATGGAAATAACAGCGAGGACGACGAAAAGATGGAGGAAATAGAGATTGTCGATGCGGAGAGACTACCTTATCCCCAGCCTCAACCCCCTGCTCCATCAAAAAGACCTATCGATCACAATCACATTGTTCCTCATGCTGACAGTCACCACCCCCTAGAGAACACATGGAGAATCGCCTGGTCCCTTCACGTCTACATAGCCGCCATTATGTTCACTCTCATGGCCCTCTACTCTATCTACAAAATTGTGAGATTCAACGAAGCCACCAACTTATTGACTCAATCTTATTTTCTTACTGTTCATCTACTTTTAACGACAGTCTGTACACTCAGGTGCTTTCACCTGTTCTACGATGCTTACAACCTTGGAAAATCGTTGTCAAAACCATTGTCACAGATACTGATGTATCTGCCAGCTCCATTGCTGTCCACAGCATTTGCCACATTAGTTCTTCATCTGGCTAAATGCTCCGAGGCTCCATCATTGAATAACAAATTTCTATCGCCAATGACACTGGGATTATGTTCAATGATCCACATTGTACTCTGCCTCTCCCTACATGTTTCCACTCACATCCTAGGGTACGAAGATGACGCCAGGATTTTACCCTTAGTCTGCCAGTGCATTTACATAGTGGTTTGTGTTACTCTTGGACTATGCTACATGTACGTCTATAGAGTTGTGAGATCTCAAATCAATCTAACGACTAATAAATCGGGGGGCTCACATGTTACCAGTGATCCAACGACGGTGGCCCTAGGTACTGCCATTACCACCACAATAGCAACAGCGTTGCTCTTCATTCTGATGGGTTTCGTTCAACTGTATGGAATCTTCGGTGTGCAAGAGAAGGCTCAGCCTTATCCATGGCTCTGGTGGGGCTGGCAATTTTCGGTGAGACTTATCGAGCTTTCCATGTGCGGATTACTCGCATGGGTCGCTAGCCTCTCGCAGTATCCCCTGAGAGAAAAGCAAATGCAACAACATTCTGCTCACTCTGGATTCGCCCTCTTCCCATGTGGAAGCTCCACTAGCACTGAGAATATGGACGATGTACTGTATCCAGCAATTTGTAGCACCAATCAGGCTATTCAGAATTATACCATGAGAACTGGGAAACAGGTATATGATGACAGTTTTCCATTAAATACATTACCTGAGCACTTGAATATTTCGGGCACATTTGAGAGGCACTCGATACGAAAGAGCGGAACCATGGGGCATTTTCCACATGAGGGGAGGGGATCGTTGAATCGACATGGCAATGGGGTCCAAACACTGAGGGGCTCGGAGAACAGGGGAAGGCATACGCCACAGGGGCTGCACGAGCAGGCCCCGGCGTCCGGCTCCACCATGCTGGTGGCTGAGGACGGATTTGTTAGGTTTAGAACGCTTGGAGCCGAGGAGGATGAGATGAGCGATACACAAAGTATTGCAGGAACGCATGGTAGGGGAGGTGGGTCATTGGCCGGCAGTGTGAGGTACAGTGCCAGGCATAATGCTGCACAGCATCATGCACAGCAGCACCCGCACCAGTATCAGCACATGCACACGTTACAGCATCCTCATGATAGACAGCATATTCAGGGACATCATCAGAGTCATCATCAGTTGTATAATAACACGTAGAAGGGGGAAAAAGTGGCACGCGTTGAGTGGAGAGCGCCTGTGCCAATTGTTGGAAACGTAAGTTTCATTTTGTGAGTTTTTTTTTCTCCGACATAGGTAAATTGTTCCAGGATCCTCCCCTTCAAAATATCTTCAATTTTAATTTTTTTATAGTGGATACTCTCATAAAAAACACTTACTACCGAGATGATTCGATATACAACGAAGTGGAAAGACTCATTCACATTTATAATTGCCGATGTCAAAATAATTAGGGGAGAGTGAGGCAAAATAAAACTGTCAAAAAAAACGACTGTTTGGTGCAATTCAAGCAAAAAAAATTTTATTCAATTTTCTTCTTTTATTAACTTTTTTGTATTCTTGGGAGTACTGATGAGAATAATAATTTTCCATTCAGTAGAATGGAAAATTATTGAGAAGTTTTGACGGGCGAAGATTTTGTCAATGGATTAATTGAAAAGAAAATGAAACAGCAAAATCCAAAGTCCAGAGCAAAGCCCACGGGAGATTCACAGGGGGAAAAAGGAAAATGTGATGCTGAATTTCAATCGAATAATCCATTGACAAAATCTTCGCCCATCAAAATTTCGCAATCTTCTTATTCTTCTCATCAGTACTCCCAAAAATAAAAATAAAATTTGAAAAAAAATTTAATTAAAAAAATTTTTTTTGCTTAAATTGCGTCAAACAGTCATTTTTTTCACTATTTCATTTTGCCCCACTCTCCCCTATATTCGTGCATTTAATATTTCTTTTTGCCCTCTCTCCACTCCACTTTTTTCTCCCACGACTATTCATTAACGGTTGACATTCATTGTCATCCACCATACTTTGCATAATTCAACGAATGAATTTCTCAACTCCTTATTTACAATTTTTGTTCCATCAGCTTTTCCCTGCAACCACCAGACACGTCATAGTACGAGCTGATCAGTCAACTAAAGCAACTACTAGCAGTACTCTGTCCATCCGACGTACTCAATTTGAAGAGATAATTTAATATTAAATTTAAGTGTAATATATTTTCAAATGTATAAAATGCGAACGATTTAAGTTTAAGGAGATTAATGAAATAATGCCCGCCGCTCTCGGCCCCGCTGCTTGATATCCATTCCCCCTATTAACAAAAATGGGGAAACCAAATTGAGTCCAAATAACCGCCAAGTACGAATTTTCGATTTTATGAATACTCCGGAACTATTGAAATCGTCAAATAAAATCGAAAATTGTATTACTGAATAAAGCCGTATAGCCAAGGAACATCGTCTACATTTTCTTATCTTTAAATATGGATAGTGTATTGAAGCTTTGAATTTGAATTCCTATCTTGGGCAATCGGTACTTAAATCCACGGTCCTTGTGATTTTTAAATGAAAAAGAAATAACTACATAATAAATGCATGAACATAAGGAAACATAAATGAAATTGATGTAAAACAGTGATTGGATGTGCCCTAATGACATATGACGAATGAAGATTTTCATCACAGTTACAGGAATCTTGTCGCATAACTTATTCTTCAATTCATTGGAAAACGATACGTGAAGTGTATTTTAATTTCTTATTTATTGCGCATTTGATTTATTAGTTTGTATCATATATTTTTCATCTTCGAAGTAATCTGTTTTCAAAGAGAAACAATGAAACATTCATATATTTTTAAAACAGAGGGATATCGAAATGAGAGAGGTGAGTTTAAGAATTCCAAACAGAAATTTGGCCAATTGCTGTGAAATTAATGGATTTAGAGGAAAATATCAAAATAGCCATCACGAAATTTAAGCAATTCTCAAAAGGAAAGTTTTCTTGGTCATTTTTCTGTAAAACCATTTTCTTTCCTTGAAATTTGCAAATGATCTAGGAATAATCTTTAGCCTCATATGTTTTTGCTAATTTCCTATGGAAACAATGAATTGTGTTATAAAGTTGACCACTGGGTCCAATACACAATTAGAAAAGCAATTCCAGTGAGTAATCAGCCAAGCTGGAAATTATACACTCTTAAAAACCAGTTTTCAACATCATTGGTCAATGAATTTTTTTTAATGAAAGAAAAAGGATAAAGAAATTGTACAGTCGATATTGAATTATCGTTGAGTCCTTAAAAATGTGAGACTTAGTTAGTTCGTAAGGATTACGAGCTTAAGTTGTCCAATTGTATACGTTAAGGAACAATTTATTAGTCTAAGTTTTATGTAAAGCGACGAAGACAGAAAAAAAGGTGAAGAGACGTTTTAAATGTTGTAGAAATATCAACACAAAAAATGTACCAGAAGACTGCAATTTGATGAATGACAAGAAGTTATCGATTATTATCATACTTCACGCGAACATGGCCAGCCTATCTTTGTATTTTAAGAATATTGTGGTACAAACCTGAAGGCAATTATCATTTTTCAATGCCAACAATTGTAAATGAGATCAATTAGGATATTGAATTATTGAATTTTTTGTTCAAAATTTCTATAGTTTAGCGGTAAAAAAATTTGAAGATAGATTTTAAACGCCTTTAAAAATTATTTTGCAGACATCTTCCCAAGAAAAAGGGTTAGACAAAATGGTTATGAGACCGCTTCGAAAACCTTACAAAATACTATAATAGTTTTTTGGAATAAAGTCCCATATATTTACAAAATGAACAGTCTGGAATTTTTAAATTTATTTATTCGGTTTATTATTCTTCCTTTTTACCGCTTAACTACAGATTCTACGATGGAATTCATTATTTTCTAAATTAGCAAACGTCCAGAAAATAAAAGGCGGATATTCATAGAAATTTGTACATTACAAAATTGTGATTTTTTTTAATTTCTTAATTTATATAGGTAGAAGAAGAATGTATTTATTACATTTATATATATTTTTTTTCAATTCGTTGGAAAACTGCCAGTTGTCGTTTATGATTCGATTGTGTTCCTCCGTATTTTGGAAACTCTTTTTCTTTTTATCCGGGTAATCAGTAATCCTTTCCAAAAATTTCTATGAAATTAAACCATTTTACCCCATATTCGAAATTTAATGAATTTTCATTTTCTTTTTCCTGTCTATTGACATTTTATCGAATTTGATTTAATTTTCATCTAGCCCGGGTAGAGTATGATGTGTAATACGTTTGTGGAATATTAAATGATTTCTTAGTCCTTTCCCACTCTTTTTTATGATTGCAGTTTTTATCAGAAAATATTAAAAGCATTCTGAAAAAATACCGAGAGAAACCAAACCGTGAAAATGTCAACATTTCTTATGCGTGTGATTCAAGCCGATCTTAGGAAAAAGCGAGCGTTCGTATTCTAATATAAAAAATCCTCAGAATTATACGAGATATAAAGGAAAAATGGAAAGCTGCTTACTCAAATTTAAAGGAATGGAAAGGAATTATTTTAAGGAATGGGAGAAAACGCAAAAAAAGGAAAACCAATTGTATATTACCTGTACAAAATTAATAGAAGTGAAGTAAAACACATTTTTTCATTCATTTCTTCAATACTCCCGACATTTTTGTTTATCTCACCACAACCATTGTGAACACTAACAGAGTCGATGCTGATTAAAATCATACCGATATAGTAATTACATCGTATCTCTCTCTTTCTCTCTCTCTCTCTCCCCTTTTCTCCTTCTTCCTATTTATCTTAATGAGAGAGAAAGAAAGAACAAACGTTTACTGAAGGCACGGTCGTAAGCTCAAGAGCACAACATCCGCGCCAGCCTAATCACGAAGAATGTTCTATCAAGTTTCTAAATAACGTGCATTACACAACAAAACGGGGGAGGGGAATTTCGACGACGAGAAATATTCAACATGAAATTCCAAAGAGGAAAATGAGTTATTTGTTAGGAACAACATGCTCGTAACGTGTTGTCAGTTTCCTTACGACAGAGAGGTGGCGACTCTGCAATGAAGCACAAAGCTCATCTCCGTTGCCCGAAATATTATATATCTGTTGCCAAATTGTATGCAGCGATGCACAAATTTCCAGAATAACTGAAACAAATGTGCGGCATTCTGTGATCCGTGCGCGAATCTTAATAGCAGAGTCGCCACCTTTATGTCACAAGAAGACTAACAAAGACAACTCCGTTTTTCGTTAGAAAAATCATTGTATTGGTGAAATACGTCGTCGTCATCCGTAATTTTTGGAACCAGCAATAACAACGGTAACATGATAGCTCAGTTACCTAATAACTGTGTTACTAGTGACGGAGCATACTTGTGGCAATTAACAGTCTTATTGGGAAAGAAAAAAAAATTACAATTCGTGAGTAAATTGATCCCCACAATTGCTTGAAAATCATCGAAACGATGAGCGGAAAAAAGAGCTACCTGCTAGATATGAAAAACTACCTGAAGGATATTTTCTTCGCTGGATTAAACTCAGTGAAGCCTCATATGTTGATCCGAAATAAAATCAAAGTAAGTGAAAACACTTTATTCGTCGAAGGAAAGAGTTACGCACTAGGTAACAGAGTTTATCTCATTGGCTTTGGGAAGGCAGTGCTTGGGATGGCAATGGAGATGGAGAAACTGCTCGGAAAAAGATTAACTAAAGGAATCGTTAGCGTCCCTCGAGGCTCTATAAATGAACAATTGAAGAGTATGAACAATTCCGTATTTTTTGCGTCAAGCGGTGTCGTTAGTTACCGAGAAAATTGCGTGAATAATCAGGCAGATGAAGAAACACTAAAAATTACTCGAGAATTGATGGATTTAACGACATCTTTAGATGAAAAGGACACTCTAATCATCTTGGTTTCAGGTGGAAGTTCAGCCCTTTTATCGATGCCCTGTCCCCCGATAACTCTGAAAGAGAAAAATGAATTCTGGAAAAAACTGCAGAACTGTGGAGCTGATATCAAAGAAGTGAATATCGTTAGGCAAAAATTATCGATGGTGAAGGGAGGAAAATTTATAGAATTAGCTCACCCTGCTACTGTTATTAGTCTCATTCTATCAGATATTATTGGAGATCCAGTGGATTTAATTGGTGGAGGGCCCACTTGTTATGCCAACAGAGACCCTTGCGAAGTCTTCAAAATTCTTGATAAGTACAATATAAAAAACATCGATAATACGATGAAACAATTGTTGAATACTAATGAAATTCGTGATAGAAATCATTTTACTAATGTGAATAATCACATTATTGGTAATAATTCATGTGCAATCAATGCTGCACGAGATGAAGCTTTAAAAAACGGTTTGAATGTAATTGTTTTGTTCAATGATATTCAAGGATTAGTGAAAAATGTCAGTAAAATGTATGTCATGCTGGCAAAACTTTTCTGCGGAATACTGAATAACTCAATAACGAAAGAGGAATTTACAAGTTATGTAAAAAATTGTGAAGACTTGAAAAGACTCGAGGGAAGAATTGAAAACATATTTTCACATCTGAAGATCCATAATGATAAAGGATTGTTACTGATAGGCGCTGGGGAGCCCTCTGTAGTTGTGACAGGGACAGGAAAAGGTGGAAGGAATCAAGAATTAGCTCTGCAATTTTCCCTGGATTGGGCTCAGGAGATAGAGAAAACCTCTAAGATGAAGGAATTCGACGTACTTTTACTAAGTGCTGGAACAGATGGACAGGATGGGCCAACCGATGCTGATGGAGCCTTCGGTTATGCGGATATTTCAAAAAATGAGAAAAGTAAGGATTATTTAGCTAATAATGATGCTTACCATTTCTATTCGGATTTCGAGGGGGGAGAGAACTTGCTGAAAACAGGATTATCTGGAACTAATGTGATGGACCTTCACTTAATTTATATTAAGAAGAAATAGTGATTTCCGTAACAAGTATGGAAAGAATAGAGACAAAATTATTACAAGATTGGGAAAGACCTCTTCTTTTCTAGTGGAGTAAAGAAGAGTGAAATTTTTATTGGATAATAAACGGATTCCCTCCATTAATAAAGTTTTATTTGATTTAAACATAACAGTGCGATAAAATTATGAAAAAATGTGGACGTTCAGAGGAAGCTACCTATAAATATACAATTTAAAAAAGGACACATCAAACCTCCGTCAGTTGTAATATGAGCGTGCCGGACTGCCGCGTTTCTCAGAAGAATGTTTTTCATCACATAAATCACTGTTTTAAGGAAAATCCGTATGTTGGTATATTACAGTTCAAATTTTTAAACGTCTCTCTTATTGTATAATCATGTAAAGAATGGGGAGTGAATAAATTAGGCGCAGAGACGAAAAATTAATTATAGTACTAGAGCCAACCAGGCTATCACTAATTATTAATCAAATTAATACTGTATTTATACATTGACATAGCCAAATTATACTACACACACATACACACATGAGAAATATATATATATTTTTGGTTTCGATGGAGATGTCAAGTGGTCTTTTCATTTCCGTAATAAGGTGGTGAAAAACAGGAGGTAGGTCTATAATTTGTGTGCAGATTATTCTGTCAATATGTTCGAGACGAGATTCATTAAAAGACCTTTTTTCGATTTTTAGGAACTACTCAGTTCCATGAATATTATTGCAGAACAATCTGTAAGGAAATTTTTTAAGCTATCTGACGTCATCACTCTGCTACAAATTTTTACCTCTTGAATTCAACTTTCCCTCATTTGGAGAACATTATTTTTCCTTTTTTTAATGTAGGTATATGAATAGTTTTTTCCTCTGATTTAAAAACTTCCAGGACGGATGATTGAATGATAGAGTGATAAGTCAATAAACGATTCTCTCTTTCTCTTTCTTAGTCTTCGCTCTCTTTAGAGAAATATGATTTAATTATGTCGACCTTTTTAATAACTATTATTACATATCAATTCAGAAATAATGAAAGGAAAATACAATGTAGAAGTAATTAGCCTAAAAATCCTATTTGAAGAGTAGAAGAAATTAAGAAATTAAGAAAGTAATGTGAGGAAGTTTCTTCAAACTAATATCCATTCACAAATCCCAGCTGAATAAGTGATGCTTCACAAGCATATCTCTGACTCCGTCTTTTAGTGGCTGAGATTGCTCTTTCTTCGGTGGTAATTCCCAATCAGGATTGAGATTGAAGGCAAATTGACTGAGAATTCTAAGCTCACATTTAATTTGGACCCAGCCCGGACTGTTTATGAAACTCCATGGGTGGTACCTAATTAATTAAATTCATTGATATATTACACCTATATATGATTGTGTATTACATTTTCATTATACTATTAATGAAATAATTTTTTTTACCATTTTTGTACTACTTCAACACACGAACATAAAACCTCGAGCCAGAGGTGCAGAACTTGTTCGTTTAGTCCGAGACAAATCAAGGAACGTAGCTTGACGTCCATTTGAGCATGGGCATTGTCGTGAGTGAGATTGACTGACTGAACGCAACGATAAAGTAGCTAGGACGACAAATACAGTAATTAATCAGTAGTAATAAATCAGAGCTTCAAAATGATCAGGAATTTCACGATAGCTTCGTTGCAAGTAAATGAGTGTCAAATTTCTAAGGATTAAACATCGGTTACTGAAAGCCGGTTGCCAATGGCAGCGGGAAATATTTGAAAAATATCCAGTAATAATAGCACTGCTATCCGTTTCAAAATCGTAGAACAAGAAACAATTTTTTATTGACAAAATGATTATTTACCTTATCCTATACAGAGCCTCATCATCTTAAATTCATTAGTGCTAATTATATCGTAATGTAAAGATACAAAAAGGCCCGATTTTGAGGATCCGGGAAAATTCACGAACTTTGCCATCTTTTAATGGTTCTGAGATATCTGTGCACAACATTTTCGTTTGAAAAACGAATAATTTTTAGAATTTTCAAATTCTTCCTTCTCGCGTATACTTTTGAATGCTGTAGCAACTATAAAAAAAATCAGCATATTTTTGCCGCCATAATTTGGAACAACAAGAAGACGGCAAGGCTCATGAATTTTTGCAGCCGCTTAAAATCGGGCGTTTTTTCACCTTTACATTACGATATAATTAACACTAATGAATTTCGGAAGATGAGAATATGTATAGGATAAGATGAATAATCAATTCATCAATTAAAACTTGTTTCATATTTCTAATATTTTTACGCCACTCATGCCTGAAACCGGCTGGATTACACACTCGATTATCCACTATGACAAGTCAGTCAATAGAGGGGTGGAGTTGTTCACCTAGTCGAACGCTAGTCAATCACCGGTCAATTCGTAATGCTTGATCGAGAACGGTCGTATAGAATCCGTCTAATACTCGCGATCGAACAATAATATTTTTTCATCACGCTGTGACGAAAAGTGAACTTTTCGGCACGCTCCGCGTGCCTAAAAGTCCAATTTCCGCCACATTGTGATGAAAAATATTGTTCGTAACTCGTGAAAAAATGTTTTTTAGCTCGTTACGAAATATACTATTACGAGTTTGGGGAAGGACCAATACCAATCTCCGGATGAGGAAAGTGAAGGTCAGTACGGAAAAGATACTTTTCATCATGCTGTGACGAAATATTGTTCGTAACTCGTGAAAAAATGTTTTTTAGCTCGTGGGATTATATCACTCGCCTTCGGCTCGTGATATAAACCTCCCACTCACCAAAAAACACTTTTTTGCACTCGTTACGAAATATACTATTTCGGCACGAAGTAAACGTAGCAGTAGTGTTAAAATAGTATATTTCGTGACGAGTGCAAAAAAGTGGTTTTTGGCGAGTGATATAATCCCACGAGCTAAAAAAACATTTTTTCACGAGTTACGAACAATATTTTTCATCACAATGTGGCGGAAATTGGACTTTTAGGCACGCGGAGCGTGCCGAAAAGTTCACTTTTCGTCACAGCGTGATGAAAAAGTATTATCTGACTCATGTGACTATAATCCTCGAAGTCACATTCGTCAAGTAATACTTTTCTCGTCTGATGACATAATGTACTATTGCGGCACTCGCTTCGCTCGGTGACAGGGCGGTTTTCGGACCTAGTGTTGTAAAATAAGCCACCATATTCCCTATTCCTTGGCTTAACCCTAAATTGGTCACCATACGCGAGAATCGCCGCACAGCCCATTTTCGTCTTGTAATATCAATTTGATGACTGAGTAAACACAAAAAAAACAAATCTGTTGTGTAAGAGTGTGAACAATTTTTGTGAACTATTTATTTCAATAATTTTCCTATTATTAAACCTGGTAAAGCGCTTCAAATGAAAATGTCAAAAACGAGGTAGCCAAAGTAGGATTAAAAAATTCATAGAATATTTCCCTCAAGTTTTCCCACATATCTACGATCCGAATGAATTTTGTAATAAAATTTCAATCTGCACAACTCACTCCAGTTCACACATGCAGGAAAAATATCGGTAAATATCCTATTATTTTAAATGCCTCAGGGTATCACAATCAGTAATAGTATCCCGAGAATTGTAAAATTATCCGCTATTCCTAAAACATTCATTTTCGCTCAAACTATCGAGTTTCAAAAATGTGCTTCTACCTGTAAACAAAGGTAAAAGTCGTTGGTACTCGCGAGCAATGAGAGCTGAAGAATACAGAAACAAAAACATTAAACTCTTCGGCTTAACAAGCTCAGAGAATAGAGGCTTTTCCGTAATCGTGAAAAAGCTGTTGAAGTTCAAGAAAATACAAAGTTTCGCGATTGGACAAGTTGAACTGAAATTTCACGGTTCAAGAAAATAGTTTTAAAATATTCCAAAAAATTGGTGTACATAACAGAAAGGAATTTAGAGATGAACCTAAGAACAAACACGGAAAATAATGATGGTAAACAATTACATAGTAGGGCTACTAGGGTCACTAAGGTCATAAAATTCATATAAAGGGTCACATACGACAAAATCTGGTTGACATTGTTTGGAAAGTATTTCGGTGTTTTTTCGCCTTCGGACGGTTTGGAAGGGATGTTTGAATATTTGTTTGAATATTTTATTCTAAAGATAAGATAAAAAATACCTCCTCTGGAGTAAGCACTTTTCCATCCTCGTCCAATCGATATGTTTTACAGAGAACGAGTCGACTGTAAACAGAATTGAAATCTTTTTCAACTTCTCTAGTGGAGGCTTCTTCAATGAACAACCAAGGATGACAGGGACCCCCTAAAAAATTGGCTCTTCTCATGCCATGCTCTAGAACTGCTTTAATAGCTGGACATAATGTTCCTCGAACAAGATCAGTCACAGCTTCACTAACTGCGTCATCCCCAGCACATGTGTATTGCTTACTTCTTTCGTCCAGTAATTGTACAAATTTAGCAGGAAACCATCCTATCGAAAAATAAAACATTGTTCACAATTAGTCTCTGAACGTTCTATTCAAACCTCGATTGTTTCTATCAACAAGAACTCGCACTGGTGACGCTGGTGCCTTCAAAATGACACCTGATTTGTAAAATTCTGAACTTTTTTCATGGACTTACGAGAACTTTATGCGAAAATTGAATTTTCATGTTTCACTTAAAAAATTAACTTTGATTGAATCTTTCGATTCTCCTAAGTGGACTAGACAGGAATATTTATACATTATTTTGAAGAGCGTTTACTATTTCTCAAAGTGGTGGATGAAAAATCTGATTCAATTGAAATTATTCATATACCATTTTGAAGGGTATTTGTTATTCTTCGAAATTGGACATGGTAATTCCGATTCAATGAAATGTTCATCAAGTTATAAAAGATTGTTTCCACTTATTACGTTATGTCACACGCCAAAAATAACAGTTTTTGCCATTTATCGAGGCTTTAGACTTGACCTGCGGGAATGCGTCAGATGTATTGAAAATCTCGATGAGATCTTCAAATTGATACCCCATATTATGTATTCCATCCACTAGATAAATTGTTATAAGCGATTAACTTTTTAAAAATCAACAACGAACTTGAAACGTTAACGAGCCAATGAAAAAACATTAACGTTCGAGTGTACGTAGTTTGCCAAGAATATTTCTGCTGTGGAGAATCCCCACTGGAAAGCCCTAACGATGATTGGGTCTGCCCGTAAGAAAGCAGTTGGACAGGAACGTTGGGGACCTGGCCACTCGGCCTGAAACCTCAAGGTCCTCTAATTATTTGAAAAATATAATTATGTAATATAACTATTCTAACATACCAGACGAAATGTGATTCATTTATTTTTGTCACCGAGGCCTATCCAGGTTCTTTTCAAGAGATTATTTTATTCAACTGGAGTGCAGGTCTATACTATCCAGAACCCTTTCACCATGAATTATCTCGGTACTGATGAGCAATTTCAAGAGAACATTTCAAAATTGAAGGGACAGTTTCAATTTACAATTAAAAGGTGCTTCGACATTTTCCCCGAAATTTACTTCTTTCCGAGATGATCACTCAATTGATACACGTTATATGGTGATTTAATGAAAAAATCCAATTATTTTCCATTGATAAATAAAAAGCAAAAGAATCATCATGAAAAATACAAAAAGGGTGATTATACCATACTCGAAGATTTCGAATGATTCGTCAAGACGAATCTTAGAATATCTCAAGGACCCCCAAATCTATCGAAACCAGCAAATGGAGCAATTATTAGCAAACAACATACCTCTAAGCCCATTCAACTCTCCGATCCAACAGTGTTCGTCCTTCTGACTGATGATCGTAATAATATCATTCTTTCGGAATCCTAGTTCATCATCGTCATGTCTTTCGAAATCCAGCAGAGCCTTCGCCCTCCGCTGCCGTATCCTCGACACATTGATATAATTATCATGATCCTTAGAGTGACTCTCCATCGTATAATCTGCCACGAGAGCTCCAGCATTGATCTTCAATTTCATGGAAAATACATATCCGATTCACCATATTCTTGAAACGTTCCTTAGCTTGTTTTAAAACAGCCAATTACATTTGGAAGAAAAATGCTAATGAACCCTCTTTGCACCCCATACAAATGTCCGCAAAAAAAGTCGCGCGACTCTTTTTTGGCTACCTCCACAGATGAATCCCATTCCCCTGTTTGATCTCGATCTTAAAGTTCGCTAATCAGCTTGTCCTCTGACTCTCTAGCCGTCAAACTAAGACCGTCGTCATCATTGAGTCTATGTTCTCTCCTCGCTCGAAACTCCTGAATTTTTTTCATGTATTTTTTATCGAGACGACAATGTAAATAATTTTCACTAATTTTATCCACTGTTTTCTTTTCAAGTAATATGAAATATTTCATCTATAATTCAATTGGTTAAATTAGGGCGATTACACTTTTCTTTTTTCATTTGATTGAAATTCAGTATCAAATTTTTCTTTTTTCCACACTGGGTCTTTTCCTGGTACTTCCTCTGAACTTCCGATTTTGATGTTTCATTTTCATCAGAACTTCAGCTCGATCTTGTTTTCCGCCTCTGCAAGCTCGGCTCATTTCCATCACCATTGATAGGGTAAAAATTCACGGGTTATATATACATGTCTTCTTCGGATGAGGAGAGACAATAGACTCAGCAGTGACGAGGTCAAGTTTAGCTGCTGGAGACAGGGGACGAGCTAACTAGGGGACGCCGAGAGGAGGTTGAGATCTAACAGGGGAATGGGAATCTCTGCCTACGGCCAGCATGATAAAAAATATTGTTGCAAAATATGATTGCAAAAGTTTTTTTCGGCCTAATGACGAAATATACTATTTTTTGCTTGAATTGCATAAAAAAATCGTTTTTCGACTCTTTCATTTTGCCCCAGTCTCCCATAAATAAAGTATAATAATCAGTAGTTTTATTCACCTTCGGATCGACATTCATAAAATGCCTAGCTACTTGCAGGACAGTCTCTCTCAAATCGACTAAAATTTCCGTCTGCCTTATATTTTTAGATTTGGCATCCTCTCCCTTCTCATCTCCGCCAAACAGAAAACTCTGCAGCATAGATTTGGATCTCTTCATCTGCCTTTTGTTCAAATGCTGCTTAGGCAAATTAGGACTTGCATCGGGGTTCCCAACAAGCCCCCCTTGGTCTGCCATTAAATATGCCAAGTGTCTCCTCCTGTGCGTCTCTACCAAAACATCAGTGAGAGACCCACTGACTTCCAAAGAAATCTTGAAAAGCTGATCAACATCGTCAATGTCGCCCGGGATGTCCGAAAGTGCATTAAAGATCTGAGCAGAATTCTCTAATTGCTTTAATTCGGTCTCCCTCATTTTCAGCATCCCTAGAGTAATTTGGAATAAGACGATTGATCCATCAAACAAGATTAGATCCCAAATCCTCAATAAAATTTTCATGTGCACGACGGATGCAAAAAGCGTCAGGAACCAGTGGAGAGAGATGAGACTAAGTTCAATGTCATGTTGGATTAATACATGATCAATGTCAGATAAGTAATTAGTAACCAGTGTCCTCAAGACCTTTTGATCTGCTTGGACCCCGAGAAGGGTGGAAGAATAATAAGAAGCTGGTAATAAGTCCTCAACAATGGTTGCCATCATCCAGAAAGTATCTTCCTCTTCAAGTAAAAGGAGCAAAGAAGCTGCTATTGTTCCTGTACCTTGGCAGTAACCAATATCGGGGTACAACCACGCTAATCCCCTCATTACTCTTCGTAATCTAGGGATTCCTGTGCTGTGAAGGTGAGAGAAACAGGCGTTTGCCGGCATAGTCCGCAACAAATCTTTTTCTATTTGCTTAGAGGTCATCAAGGCGTCATTGCTGGAAGCTTTCACAATATCTTTGTACGTCATTTCTGATGACGATTTTTTCTGCAAAGCCCCTGATACCCTCATCCAGATTCTAGGGCGAAGGGAATGAGGAACTCCTTGTCGAACCATTTCTCGAAGTTTTTCGGTTCTCGGCAGGCGCTCATCTGTTTTTCCATTTTCCCAGGAGATGTCAGAGATCTCTTGGGTGCGGGTGAACTCCAAGAGGGTAATCCACTGATGCTTGTGCTCTGGGTCATCCATAAATGGGACACCAAGAAGTTTCTTGGAGCTTTGTTCTGGGCCGTCTTCCTCTTCCACTCGAAAACCGAATTCGTCGAATCGGTAGTCAGGTTGGGAATTTGGATCGTCCGGTTGGCTGAGTTTAGCGAGAATATCTTGAGGCCACATAGATGGTGTCAGAGCGGAGAAAGGACCCCCAGGGATGGGAGAGATGACATCGTCGCAGAAACCGTTCAGGTCGGTCTCGCAGTCGTCTTCAGAGCCGATTGTTTCCAGTTTTTGCTGCATTGAAACGAAAACAGCATCCATTAAAAAAAGAGTGACTACTGTTATTGATAATGTTCCACTAACTACATCATACTACTGCAAGTGTCGAATGAATATTCTTTTCGAGTAATATGCAATTTAACCAGTTCTTCAAGAAATAGTTATTTGACTTTGTGATATTTTACTTTATTAGATGCATAAATATATACTACAATATCGATCTGAATAAAATTCTTCCATATACTTCCTGGCACTTACAAAAAGGGCAGCAATCTACTATACAAGTGACTTTGAGATATTCAAGAAAATGAATTTAGATACAAACTTGAACATCTTTTAAACTAACCATCTAATTTAGCCCATTTTGAATACAAAATATTCCGGTATAAAGAGAAAACTTCGTGCCAAATTCCAAGTTAATATGTCGATTTTTGCAAAAATGAGAGTGCTAACAAGGATCTTGAGCGAAAAACCGAAAAATGTAAATATCGAGACGAATATTTTAAAAAACAAATTGAAATCGGTTGAGAAGTTGTTGAGATATTTGCGAAAAGCGGTTTAAATACAAGTGGCGATTTCTCAAAACCGGCTGGATCGATTGCACTGAAACTGAGCGCAGAGTTAGTTCTCATTAATACCTATAATCTGACAGTTTCAAATTTTTTGAAATCATTTTTGTCCTTAATTCTTTAATTTTCTAAAATTTGGCCGTCAGGTGGATACCTACTTCTACAAACAAGGTGGTCAAACTTGGTATTTTTACGTTTCAGACCATTCTACATCATTTCCAAGCAAAATAAAAGAATCTAAAAATAGACCGATTTCAATGCTTCCATTCGGAAGCAAAAATCAAAATATTTGAATGAGCGAAAAAGAATGATCTTCAACAGTTGTCGATGATTGCTGAAACTTAAGATGACTTATTCTTTGACCATTAGAGATATAATTTCTTTTCTTTTGTTTTTCAATTCACAATCAACATCACTTATTTGGATTGTTATTTACTCACATTATAATCATCTTTTCCAACATAACCCTCGTGATCTCTCACATTGAATAACGATTTTGCAATGTCCATTGTTGAATTGCTCGAAAATCGGGCTCATTCATTTATTTATAGCTCATGGTGTTTCTCTCTCATGGAGCTGGAGATCGTTGGTTGATCAACGAGAACCAATAATTTTTCAAGCAATTAAAAATGCTTACAACAGCTGTCAGCAGACTTGTTGTTACTTGTCGGACTGAGGAGATTGTAGCCCTGAGTGTCAGAGGTGGGAGATAACGATTGTGGTGGGGATTGGGAAAAGTGGCGGCTTGTAGTCACGTTCGCCAAACTTCAGACGTCAGAACGGAATGAATATACGAAAATCAAATTCTCTATACGGGGGGACTCCGGTCAACTATCAACAATTGAGTATTGTTATTAGTGTGATTCGATAAGAGCTAAAGGACAGAGAAGATGTTCATAGTAACAAAACAGATTGACAGTGAAAATATTAGCAAACTTTGTCGCACATGTTTGAGAGAGGACGGTGACAAAATGGTGTGTTTATTTGTTGGTCCAGCAGGCTCCTCATTGGCTGCGAAATTGAGATCTTTATCTTGCTTAGAGGTGAAGGAACCTACCGAATAACCCAGGAAACTACCTGATCAATAATCACAATGCCTTCGTATACCTTAATCATGACAATTTATCTGTTTTGCATTTCATCTTTTGTAAGGTTTGGCAAGGAGATGGTCTCCCAGAAAAACTCTGTGATCGCTGTGTCACACGAGCAGAGTCAGCTCTATTATTCCGAGAGCAATGCAGAGCTGCTGATAGAGCTCTGCGCCAGGCAGCATCAAAGGTCGGTTTCGATATTGTCCGGTAGATTGATTAACAATTTGCCCAAAAAAAATCATGATATCCTCGCTAACTCAGTAGTGGAGTGGTAAATCGAGTTAAATCATAGAGCCAATGGACAGACGTTAGGCGACAATATTTCGAAATTCAACGGAGATTGCAAAATTGATTCTCAGAAAATCACTCGTCCCCAAAAAAGACGAAATTTCCCGAACAAATTCTTCCCAAAAATATAAAAGAAAACAATCGCAGCACAAATTTTTCTGAAAACTACCAAAAACTGGAACACAAAAATCAAAACATTTTAATATCACTTACATATTGTATTTCACAAGCAACAATAGATAATAAAACAAAAATTACACTTCCCTTGATCCTTAAACAATTCCTTCATTGTCAGAAAAAAATGACGCAAAAAATTCAATGAACCGAGGAGCAAAATGCAAAATTTAGCGAAGGATACTTGTGAATGATCAATAAATATATTCCGAGTAAAATAAGTTGTCACATACATACATATATTTGCAATCAAAATTAGAAAATCGAAAAATCGCCAAATACAAGGCTTACGAGCATTTCATAACTCGAAGTATTCACATCTATCAAATATCACTTTTTGACCTTTTCCAATTATACCAATGGTAAATCAATATTTCATTTTATTTGTAAAAAAAAAAATTTCCAGTTAATTTTGTTTTCTTCTGGGGGAGTTTTTTCTAGAATTTTACCAGGAAGTTTTGAAAAGAGAAGTTGTATCCGGGAAACGAGGGTCCCACGACCGCTCGAGATCAAACTCGGTTGGGCGTCGAAGCCCACTTCTTGCTATCTAAGTGAGTTGCCACTCAACTCTTCCCAATTGTAAACTAATCTGAAAACTCGCACACCTCTATTCGACACATGTGTTAATACATTTTTACTTTCAATTTCACCTACTGTCATTATTCTCAACAATGATATCGAGAATAATATCTTCAGGTCTCTGGTCTAACAACGTACACAACTGTGTCCGGTTGCAAATTATACGAGGAAAATCAAGGCTTCACTCCAATCGAAACCTCTGGGAAAACCCTAAAATGCGTCGAGTGTGGAGCAGTATTCATGAATTACCAAGAACTCTGTGTTCACAGTCGCCTTCACGCTCCATTCGTCCATGAATCAACCTTGATGCAGCACATGCACATAGTCGAATCAAATAATCAGTTTTTCACCACTGAATCCTCAATAAACGATCCAGTCATAGAAGATAATAGAAATGCATCAGTTGCAGTTCTAGAAGCACCGAAAACCGATAGACCTGCCTGCGCACTCCACTGTTCTCTGTGTAATCACACATTCCCAAACAGAAATCAGCTGATAAATCATAATTTTACTCATTGTAATGACAATGTTGACACTTCCTGTGATAATGATAGTATCGAGATTGCAGAGGACTCAACTGAAATTGCCGAGAACCTTACCTTTCATCAGTATCCGAGGGAACCTGAAGATCATCAGACTATTATCAATAATATGACTTATCCTGAAAATTTAAGCATTCCTCAGTCCCAAAGAATTCCACCCGAAATCATTAATTCCGAGTCTGATTTACCTGACATTTCTACGAGTAATGGAACCTTGACGTACTCTAAATTTACGGATGACAAAAGGACTCATAAATGTTCTATTTGTGATAAAACCTTCTCCCAAAAATCTAAATTAAAGACTCATGAATTATCTCATACTGGACAGAGACCTTTCAAATGCAGAGATTGTCATAAGGCATATGCTTCTAAGAGTAAATTAAATGCACATGTGAGATTACATACGCGGACTGATCTTCATGATTGTAAAATCTGTGATAAAATATTTTCATACCCGTCCTATTTGAAGGAACATATGAAAATTCATAATGTTGGTAACAAAAAGGAGGTAACAGTGAAGGCGAAGAAGTTCGAATGCTCAATTTGTTGTAAACAATTTCGAATGAAAAAGAATTTGAAGGCGCATTTGAAACTTCATAGCGGGGAGGGTCTGTTTCACTGTGAAATTTGCAGCAAAATTTTTAGTCAAAAGTATAATCTAAAGACTCACATGAAAACTCATAAAGGTGTCAAGTTACATAAATGTGAATATTGTTCCAAATCATTTGCTGAGAAGGGCAATTATACTGAACACTTGAGGATTCATACGAAAGTCAAACCTTTCAGTTGCAAAATGTGTGGAAAGAGCTTCGCGCAGTCTAGTCATTTGAAGAGTCATGAGGCAACGCATGACTCTAAGAGACCACATCAGTGCACTTTGTGTGGGAAGAGGTTCAAACTTCTATCGCATTTGAAACGCCATACTAATTCACATTCTTCTATTAAGAGTTTTAAGTGCAATCAGTGTGATCAAATGTTCTCACAGGCATTTAGTTTGAAGAGGCATCTAAAGAGACATAGTGAAATTTAGGATTAAGTATTCTACATTTGTATTCTTTTTTTAAGCTTTTGTTTAATAAAATCAGAAATAACTTCATTCGATTGGGAATTAATCGATCTTTTTCCTTGTTTTAAAATTTGAAACAAACATTGTTTAAAAGTTGTGGATTTTTCATTCTATTTTTGCTTCCGAATGGAAGCTTTGAAAATGCAATTTTTTTCGATTCCCTAATTTTGCTTGGATATGACTCAGAGTGGTCTGAAACGTCGAGATATGATGTTTTTAGACGATGTCTGTATGTATGTGTGTGCGTATGTGTGTATGTGTGTGCGTTTGTTCAGAAATGTGTCAACTCCAAAACCGTAATTACAAAAAATTTGAAATTTTGGCTCATAGTTGGTATCAACGAAATACAATTTCATTTTTTTTTTCAAAATATTTGTCAAGATGAGACCTATCTTACTGTATAGAAGTTCAGTCACCCCGCTAGAAGTCACCCCGGAGAATTGAGTTTTATTTTCATTTTTTCATTTTTTTTTACGAAATCGCTTGTTACCACGATAACTTGGAAAATAATTGAGATAGAAACTTCAAACTTTGTATGATTGTAGGTCTCATGGTAACAAAGTTTGGTATTTTGAATGGGCGAAATCGAACAAGTAGTTACGGAGATATTGAACTTTGTATGTGAAATTTTTTTCTTTAATATCTCAAAAACCACTCAGCCGAATTCAATTTTTTTTCAAAATATTCGTTATAATGGTGACTATCTGACCAAATTAAAATATAAGTACCGTGGCATTGAAAGTTTTCGAGATATTGCTATTTTTCTATTTTTAGGTGATTAGCTTACTCGTGTGGCTATAATGTGGTTAGAACTTTATTTAACGATCTCAAATTTTGAGTAGTGATCGATACTATTTAGCTACATAACTCGAAAGAATTTGAGATTAATTTGTTCAGTAGTTCGTGAGATGGAAAATTTTGTGAAAAATCGTCTATTACGTCAATTACCGTGTTTTCTTTACTTATTGGATTTTTTTATCACAATTTCTTTGAATTTCATGTTACTAACATATTGGCACAACGAAATAATCCATTTATCTATTTATTTCATTGGTAGTAGGATCCATTCGGAAGCATACTACCAATGAAATTGGTAGAAATTAAAAAAGAAAAAAGTAATAACACACAAAGTAACAATGAAATGGCTTCTGTCGGATAGGTTTCAACCTCTGCTTGTTTCACTTTTTCGCATAAAACCTAATTCGTTAATGCTTTTTGATCATGAATGCATTGATAGTTGGCTTGTGAATGGCTCCGATTTGGTCTTTGCGATCTTTCGATTTCCCAATTTTCTAATCCTCCACAGATTGAAGATAAATGATGTCACTGGATAATACTAATTATTCATCTAGATAATCATACTTTCAGTAATAATAATTCATGAAAATGAAATTTGAAATATGTCACACACTCCGTCTCTGCAACAGTCATTCCACACGATCATTTTCTATAAAATAATAAGCTATTGATAGGGGAGAGTGGGGCAAAATGAAACAGCCGTAAAACGACTATTTGGCGCAATTCTAACAACAAACTTTTTTATCAACTTTTGTTTATTAACTTTTTTGATTATTGGGAGTACTGATGGGAATAATAAGATTTTGTTCGTCTTATAATTCAATTGATTAGATTAGGCAGATTACACTTTTTTTTCATTCAATGGAAATTTAATATCACATTTTCCTTTTTTCCCCTTCCTCTGCACTTTGGATTTTGTTGTTTCATTTTCTTTTCAATTAATCCATGCACAAAATCTTCTCCCGTCAAAACATTGCATTCTACTGAATGGAAAATTATTATTGTAATCAGTACTCCCAATAATAAAAAAATGTTGCTTAACTTGTGTTAAATAGTCGTATTTTCGACTGTTTTATTTTGTCCTACTCTCCCCTATAAAAAAACATTTAGTCATGATATATGACTTGTGAAACCATTCTCATATGAGAATCAATGATGGAATACGTTGATTGAAGGAAAAAAATTATAATAAATTGTTCTATATCACGAACTATTCAGTAGATCATCCCTGTTATCCATAACATTATAACTTAACAATACTAACTATCAGCCAAAATTTCAGATGTTCCTCGTCCCTGATCTTCATGTTTGTTATAGTGAGTGCAAACAAGTTGTACTTTTGAAAAATCGCCAAATAACAATACCGTAAAAACTTTAAATTTCAATTATGGGTATAGATGTTGACACGAATGTTACAAAAAAAATTGAAATTTAATTTTACGATTGAGCCCATTCTCTATATGAACCCTTGCAATCATAAGAAAATTTGGCTTTATGCCAAATTTCAAGTCAATATCTCGTTCTTTCGAAAGTTGAAGGACAAAGATTTCAAGTCAGAAACGGAAATATGACCATAACTTTTATTTCTAGCAAGGATTGGTCAACATTAGTTGATTGCACTTATTACATAATATCATGACGGATGTTGAAAAAAAAGATGCGATCATTCGGATAATTTTCCACATTTTTGAAAAATTATTTACAAATGAATCGCTACTTCTCAAATACTAATAAAGCAATCAAGCTGAAATTTCTCGCAGAATAAATACTGTGTGAATTAATACCCTTAGTAATACTGGTATGGTCAACTGTCTCACAAAATTTCAGATCATTTGGAATGGGTTTAAGAGCTTAATCATACTAAAAATTAACTTGCGAAAAGGTATGGTTGGGCATTAGAATCAATTTTTGTATTTTTACGTTTCAGACCATTCTACATAATTTCCAAATAAAATGAAAAAATATGAAAATCCAACAATTGCAAAACTTCTATTGGGAAGCAAGAATTAATATTTTCAAAAAGTTAGGAGGGTTTTTTTGATGATTTCGAGTCCCTCTCTGAGTTGACTTTCATTGATAGTAAGAGGTGGTGAAATCCTAAGGAGTTGACCGTGAGCTGGTCTGGATAAGAGCCCCGCGTCACGCAGTCTCAAGCAAACCTGCCAACCTTCTGCGAAATCCTTGTTGATCATCAAACCGCAAAGAAGTCCTCGACCACGAAACTCAGTTGCTATATTCCTTGGAAGTGTCGTGAGTTCAGTCCTGACAATGTTGCCGAGTCTCTTTGCATTTTCAGCAAGTTTCTCGTCTTCCAGGATTCGAATTGCTTCCAGGGCTACTGCGCAAGCTAGAGGACTGCCGCCGAAGGTGCTTCCATGGGTGCCAGGTTGGAGAGTAAGTATTATCTGTAACCAATTTGAAAATTAGATTCTAAATAACCGTTTATTTATTATTCATTCTACATAGTCATTTAAAATCGTGAATTTCCGGAAATACAAGAGGTTGGAATAAGAACAGTATCATGCATGTGTAACGAGAAACATTGTCTCATCGTAGACGATCGAGAAAATCGGGAAGATGAAAGTTTAGGGGGAAATGAATGATAAATGTACTTTTTCATGTATTTCCAGCTGACTAATCCTCGCTTCAAAAAATTCCATTCTTTCGCCTCTAACAATAGTTAAGATTGTGAGAAAAATTTGGAAGCAATTTGTATACTAATAATTTTTGTTTTCATTTCGTAGGACTACCCTCAAAATTTTGTTCCTAGACTAAAATTGACGTTAGGCAATTGACGTTAGACTAAAATTCCCAGTTAGGATTGGGAAGTGGAATTGAAACTTCTCATTTTACTTCGCCTTTACTGAATCATTCCATCATCTTAACATTTCTGTTGAAAATTGAAAATCATATTGTAGAAAAACATGGAAAAAATACAAAGCAAACTGGCAAAAAGACACGAGAATATATTGCAATTCAAGATCATTCCTTCAATGGATGGGAAAAATTTCTTTTTTAAATTTCATTTACCTCATTGTTGGCAAGGACTCCCGAAACTGGATACATCCCACCAGACAGAGCTTTCCCAAGAACTAAAATATCTGGCTTCTGATTTTCGTAATCCACAGCAAGTCGATATCCAGTTCTACCGAGACCTGTTTGCACTTCATCGGCAATCCAGAGGACATTGTACTTTGTACACAAGTGACGCACACCCTTGAGATAACCATCCTAGTAAACAATTCATACAACCTCACTTCATTCACGTAATTTTGAAGATTTATTTTGTCTTCAATTCCAAGGAATAAAAATTAAACACTCTTCATAGCTATTTACCATTGGAATACGGACGCCTGCTTCTCCTTGTATCGGTTCCACCATAAATGCACAAATATGCGGATTGGTTTTAAGTTTTTGTTCCAGTGTTTCCAGATCATCGAAAGGAATTTTTTCGAAATTAGGAACAAGAGGTCCGAAATCTTTGTAATTTAGGGGCTCTGTCGATGCTGAAATTGCAGCTAGCGATCTCCCCCAGAAATTATTTTCTGCAAAGAGTACAGTGGCTTTGTTCTCCGGTATTCTCTTGATTTTGTATCCCCAGTGTCTCGCCAATTTTACTGATAAATCTCCACCCTCAACACCTATCAAAAAATCATAAAAGAATAAATTTCACATTTAAATCGTTAAACGACATTATCCAAGAATTTATCATTCTAAAAATATTTCTAAAACTCTTTGATTTAGAAAAAAAAAATGAAAAAAACTTCCTTTACTACTTTCGAAAATAATAATACAAATAGAGGAAATTTGATAGGAAACATGTCCCTTTGTGAATTACCTTAAACCTCATTATCCTGACGCCATGGGAAAAATAATATTTATGCAAGTTTTGAAATTGTCTCCATAGTCTATTAAAACCGAAGAATTTATTTACCTGTATTCATGGGAATGAATCTGTCAAATCCGAATAATCTCGTTAAATACTCGGCCAATTCCCCATGCACTGAAGTGAAAAAAGCTCTCGAAGTATGATGAAGCTTTGCACACTGTTCTCTCATAACTTTCACCAATCTGGGATGACAGTGTCCTTGATTGATCGTCGAAAAACCAGCCAAAAAGTCAAGATACCTCTTTCCATCCATATCCCATAAATAAACACCGTCTCCCTTCTCTAAAACCACTGGCAGGGGTTTGAAATGATGTCCACCATACTGTTCGTCTCTCTTCATCACATCTTGCTGGTGTGTGGTAACTGAACGCCTCAGTAAGTTGGAATTACAAGTTCTAGAGGAACTAATTCGCATAATCAACTGCATTTTCGAATGCAAAAATTGATAATTTCAAAAATCTAATCGAAAACCAATAACTAATCACACGTTTGATAGTTAAATATTGTCTTTTTCTATTCAAAATTGATTTTTTACTTTTCCTGATGAGCACAGAAACGATTTCCTCGCGTCCGGGTAGGCCTCTGAACCGTCTCCCTGATGTGATGTCATTTATATCAGCATTCAAATTGTTTGCTTGAAAACGAATTGTTTGTACGAATATCTTCATTGCATCTTTTGCTAACAAATAAAACATTATCTTGTGATAATAATACACCGTACCTGTTACTGGAAATATTTAGAAATGGAGAAAAGATTGTAGGAGGCGCCTGTCTCGATAGGAATACAAACAATTAAATTGATGATGGATTCAAGATCTTATCTATTCTTACTTTTTTGTTTATTGCATTTTGACGGACGATATCATTGTAACAGCCAAGTCTTGGTGATGAATTGATAAAAGGACTGTATCATTATTTGATTCTATTTCTTTTTTTTTGCATTCCATTCGTTCTTGCCACGGACTTTCTATCAATTCTTCCATTTTGGGAAATAATTTTTTCATTCTAATGTTCATTCTGTATACTACAATGCATACCGAAAAATAATCATTTGCATGCAGATAGGATGACGTTTTATTGGATATNCAAGTCTTGGTGATGAATTGATAAAAGGTGTATCATTATTTGATTCTATTTCTTTTTTTTTGCATTCCATTCGTTCTTGCCACGGACTTTCTATCAATTCTTCCATTTTAGGAAATAATTTTTTCATTCTAATGTTCATTCTGTATACTACAATGCATACCGAAAAATAATCATTTGCATGCAGATAGGATGACGTTTTATTGGATATATATATATATATATATATATATATATATATATATATATA